GGGTTTACTGGATATACAGTGGTATAATTAGCAAATCTTAATAGTTTAACCAGCAGTTTTCCAACTTTATAGTTCAATTTTCTTTCTTTTATGGCTAGTATTTCCAGAACAATGTTAAAAATAAGAGCAATGGTAGTGGACACTCTTATTTTGTTCTTAACATATTCTAGTGTTTCCACCATAAGCGTGATTCTGGCTTTGAGCGTGAGATAGATATGTCTTAACATGTTACGGAAATATCCATCTATGCATATTTATTGAGTGATGTTTGTTTTGTTAAAAAAACAAACAGACTGGCTATTAAATTTTGTGAAATGCCTTTTTAGCACCTGTGTATATAATCATATGCTTTTTTCTCCTTAGATCTGTTAATATAATGAAGTATATTACTAGATTTTCTAATATTGAATCATTTGCACTCCTAGAATAAACCCCACTAGTTATGCATTGTTATTTAATGTACTGCTGGATCTTGTTTTGCTAATATGTTCTCCTTAGTTTATGAAAACAATTTGGAAGTTTTCATTTTTCCCCTATACTTTGGAACTGTTTAAGTGAAATAGAATTATCAGTCTTAAATGTTTGAGTCTGGTGTTTATTTGTTTGTAGGGGGTAACATCAAACTATTTTGATCTTCTGTCTCTCCTGATTTGGGCTTTAGCAAATGCTTTTCTTACGAGAAAATTATCCATTTTATTCAAATTTTCAAATGTGTTTGCATAGATTTGAGCAAAGTAGTCTTATAATTCTTTACAACACCCCTGTTTCCAACGAGCTTTCCCTGATAATGTCTTAGTTATCCATCCTGATTCATTTGTTTCATTGGAGTCTTCTGTAGGAATAATTTCCTCAAACAGGTCCCTGGGTGATATATTCTTCTCTGGAATTCTTCTCTGGAAAGAAGTGGTATTTTGGTGGGGAATGAGACTCTTGAGTCTCTGAGTTGCTGTCCTTTTGCCTTTACTCTAGATGTTCTGAATTGTTATTCTATAATCCTTTCCTTTCAGAAATCTGAGTTTTTCCTGTGAAAATACCTTGTACTTTGTGTCTGGAAGATTGTAAAATTATTCTTTTACCCTTGGAGTTCAGGAGTGATATCACGGTTACATAATATAATGAGCCCTTCAATATGCAAAACAGTTTATTAAATTCAGGGAAATTTGTATTTTCTTTTTGTGTATTATGGCTCCTCTTCTCCTGTCAAGAATGCCCACTATTCATATGTTAGCTGTCCTAGATGAGTCTTTCAAAGCACTTATGCTTTCCAGATTTCTATAATTTTCTTCAAACTGTCTTCCAATCCACTAACCTGGCCTCATCAGTGGCCATCTTCTTTTCAATTTATCTAACACTCTTTTTAAATTGAAAACTATGGGTTTTAGTACAAGGAAGTAAGGAAGTTTTTGTGCTCTAATCAGATATCCTTATATGTTCCCAAATTTTGAATAAAGATGGGAAATGAAAAGTTCAAACTATCATCTGCTTCCTCCACCAGTTCTTCTCACGAGGAGCCATCTATTCTGGATCTTATGCTTGTTTTCCTTCTGTAGGATGACTGGATTTTCTTATAAATATCGCTGTGTTTCTCTTGCATATCCCTTGGGATTTGGACCCAGCTGCCAGAGCACCGTAAATGGAAACAGTGTTCTAGCTAGCTGAAAACCATGGTGGGCTCCAGGCAAGCTGTCATTCCCCTACTGATGCACCAGGAGGTAGTCTCTCTCTCTCTCTTCCTCTCTCTCCCCACTTTTTAAACTCTCCTACATCTTATTAAAGGACTGTGAAAACAGCAGTTCCTCCAGATAGTCACACAAGGGGCAGCAGCCTTCATTTAATAGTCCCCCCAAATCCCTGCACCCAGCTTTCTTCCTTAATCTCACTGTTCTAACCCCATCCAAGTACCCCATGCCGGTAGTCCCCCAGTTCTCTCCTATCCCTGAGGGGAAAAACATCCCATGACATCATTGTCTACTAGATCCAGACAGAGCTGAGACCTCACATTCCCCAGATCCCACTTCATGCTGGGCTTAGTAGTTCATAGTTGAATCGGAAGTGGAAGGAAGGGCATCAGGGTTGAGTTTAAGCTGTCGTGTTGCCACTAGCCATTTCCCCTCAGAGAGGAGGTTCTTATTCTAGAACACTTAAATGAGCTCCAGGGGAAGCCATGATTCTCAGAAATTACCGTCAAATTGTATTTATTTATCTATCTATACATATGTATTATATGTATGTTTTTCTGTAGAGTTTTTTCAGAAGTTTTTTTAAGAATATTTTTTAAAGCAGTTTTATGTTCACAGCAAAATTGAGGGGAAGATACAGAGATTTCCCATATACTCCCCACCGCCACACATGCATAGCCTCCCCTGTTATCAACATCCTCCACCAAAGTGGTGCATTTGTTACAATCGATGAAATGATGTGGACACATCATTATCGCCCAGAGTCCATAATTTACTTTCGGGTTCACTCTTAGTGTTGTCCATTCTATGGGTTTAGACAAATGCATAATGACATTTATCTCCCACTATAGTAACATACGGAGTATTTTCATTGCTCTCTAAGGATCTGTGTTCTGTACATTCATGCCTCCCCACCCCCAAGCCCTGGCAACCACTGATCTTACCGTCTCCATAGTTTTGCCTTTTCCAGAATGTCACATGGTTGAATCATGCAGTATGTGGCCTTCTCAGATTGACTTCTTTCACTTAATAATATGCATTTAAGTTTCTTCCATGTTTTTTCGAGGCTTGATAGCTCATTTCCGTTTAACACTGAGAAATATACCAGTACCTATGTGTACGACAGTATCAAAGGACCAAAGGACATCTTGGTTGCTCCCAAGTTTTGGCAATTATGAATAAAGCTACTGTAAACATCTGTGTACAGGTTTCTGTGTAGGCACAAGTTTTCAGTTACTTTGGCTAAAAACCAAGGAGCAAGATTGCTAGGTCATATGATTAGAGCGTGTTTAGTTTTGTAAGAAACTACCAGAACCTCTTCCAAAGTGGCTGTTCCATTTTGCATTTCCACTGGCAATGAATGAGAGTTCTTGCTGCTCCACATCCTCTCCAGGATTTGTTGATGTCAGTGTTTCAGATTTTGACGATTCTAATAGGTGTACAGTAGCATCACATTATTGTTTTAATTTGCGTTTCACTAACAGCATGTCATGTGGAGCATCTTTTCATATGCTTATTTGCGATCTGTATATCTCCTTTGGTGAGATGTCTGTTAAAGGTCTTTGGCCCATTTTTAATCAGGTTTTTTGTTTTCTTACTGTCAAGGTTTAAGATCTCCTTGTATATTTTGGATAACAGTCCTTTATCAGATGTGTCTTTTGTATATATTTTCACCCAGTCTGTGGCTTGTCTTCTCATTCTCTTGAGTTCAGAAGGTTTTATCAGATTCTCAAAGAGATGTTAAGAATCACAGTCTTACAGAGCCATACCTAAATTTGGTGGAAATCCCCAACATGCCAATTAGTTCCATGTAGATTGTTCTAAGTCCAGTGGGTATCGAGGGTCTCACAGCCTCTCGGACACTGAAGATTATATCTAAAAGTAAATATCTTCCATTTCTATGCTCTACTTGGGTCATTGTAAAATAGGTTACTGAATATGAAAGATTACCCTCTGAAGAAAGGGCAAGTTCTTGAACTAGAAGAAGATGGTTTTAAGAGAAATAAAATAGAACAAATGGAAACATATTATAGTAAATAATAACCTGTATAGAGTGGCAAAAGTAACAAATACAAGACAGTTGTGAGTGCAATGAGTTCAGGGACAAGAATTCAAAAAGGAGCTTTTTGAAGAGAAGCTAGAAGTGTTTAAAACAATAAAGTGAAGATAATTTTATTTCCCCTCAAAATAAAAAGGAAGAAGACCTTAAATTTTCTTACATTCTTTCAGTGATATGTTGATGGTGATTTCTTTGGCACTTGGCATTCAACTTCTAAATTTTAAATATATTACTCTTTATCTCTTGAAAAAATGTTTCTGGTTTAATCAAAAGTTAGTAGGCAAAATATCTACTACATTATATGGTTACTTTTGAAACATAAGCCCTAGTAATTCTAATGGAAAAGGATTAGATGCTTTTTTATTTGAGGTCAATAAAAATAGAAAATAACCTTAGAAAGATCTTTTTTTGTCTCTAGCAGATAGAAAGATACAAATATAAAGCCTTCTATATGTTTTAAATGATTTTTAGATTTTTTAATATATTAATACATTTTTTATGCAAGCTACTCTGATGTATGACCATAACCCAAGCAGACCCATGGCGATTGGGAGCAGAACTGGAAGGGGGAATAGATCTCAAGACAGATCCTTCTACCACAATCTACAACCCTCTACACATTCGCCTTAAATTACGTAAACCTCACTAACATAAGTATTAAGATATAAAAATATGATCAAAAATTCACATATTTACTAAAATTTTCACCTATATATTAGCTATAATCAAAGGCTATAAAGGGAAGCTTACCTAATTTTCTTTGAAAAATGTATACTCTTCTTTGAATGTCTTGATCATTTAATGGGTCCGTACTAATTTGATCTTTTATTATACTCCATCCCTTTATCCTTTCTGTTCCCCTTTTAACAAATATGTGCTCAATTATTATACTTGTTGTTGTTAAATAACACATAGCCAAGATCTACGCCCAGGCACCTAGAATTCAGGCATCCCTCAACCTAACCGAAGAGTGCCCATTAGTGGACACAGTGAGAATAAATATGCAGCAGTGATGTCAGATATCACTGAATGATCACAGAGGTTATGTTTAGTAAAGCCAAGTATATCCATCTTCTCAAGGCAGCCACAACCAGCCTGTCAGAAACAGCACTCAACATGAAACCTCTTATGTTATCCCAATTTAAAGCAAAATCATCTTATCATCAATTGCCGGGAAATTTCTCTCCACATCCCCAACTGTCTTCAAAATGAATTTCTAGGCCAACTGACTTCTATTTAACTCTGCTGTTTCCTGGTTTCAGATGGCTACACCACGGATGACATTGAGTTTTACTGGAATGGAGGAGAAGGAGCAGTAACAGGAGTGAATAAAATTGAGCTTCCTCAGTTTTCAATTGTTGACTATAAGATGGTGTCCAAGAAGGTGGAGTTCACAACAGGTGAGGATGTTTCCCCCAAAATGGACTAGCGATGATGAGAAAGGAGATGGCTCCCACCAAATGACCATCTGATTTTCTTTTCTTTTTTTTTTTTTCACTCAGGGGCGTATCCACGACTGTCACTAAGTTTTCGTCTAAAGAGAAACATTGGTTACTTCATTTTGCAAACCTACATGCCTTCCACACTGATTACAATTCTGTCCTGGGTGTCGTTTTGGATCAACTATGATGCCTCTGCAGCCAGAGTTGCACTAGGTAATGCATTCCCAGCACTACAGAGAGCTGGTGGGATTTAACGTCTAACAACAACCAATGATAAGAATTACAGGCCAGGGTGTCTCTCACAGAGAGCCAGAGAATGAGATTACCGTAAGAGTGCTGGATAATAAGACATCTATGTGTAAGCCCTTACAGGAGTGAATGTTTTACAACGTAATACCTTTTTATCATTTTACCAAAATAAAACACAAATCTTGGAGTACATTCAACACTATATAAGTGCTTCTTAGAGAATATTTTAAAATTCTCATCACACTAATATTTTACTAACTTTGTGATTTCTTCTTTGGCTCCTTCTCTTTACAGTGGAGAACATTATCGCATTATTCTCAAATGGATACGGAGAAAGCTAAACCTTGTGACCATTAACAAGCCATGTCAATATTATCTTTCAAATATTAACTATAGTTAAATTGTATCGCTCTGTCTCCCTTGAATAGAGCTCCTTCTACTTGAATAAGGCACAGACAATTCATCAGCTATATTAATGATCTGTGATCAGGACAGAATAAAAAATGGTTTCCTTCCCAGCGAAACAGAATTCAGAACTAATCTTGCCATGGTTGAGTAATTGCTGTAAGCGAAAAGGCTGTATTTGAGATTTTAAAGGATTCCTTGGAAAGTTAGAATATGTAAGGTCTGTCTGATGTATCTGGGTATGTGTGTGTGGGTCTACCTCATATTTGACCCTAGAGCCATTTCAGTTATCACTGTCTGGGGCTTGTTTACAGACACACACACACACACACACGTGCGCGCGCGCGCGCGCGCGCACAAAAGAACATCATTTATTACTAAGCTAACATATACAGCTCTTCTCTTCTGAGACTACGGAACTGGATTAGATGATCAGCATACGCTTTCACCCCTAGACTAACTGTCAACTCCACAGCTCATCGTTATTGGTTGAGTATATAAGGCTCACAAAGTCAAGTGTGGGCAGCCCCTTATCAACCTTTGAACATTACAAGACTAAGGAAAGTAGACAAATAATTTATCATATCATACACATGTATCTGCACATATTATTGGAATATGTGTATACGCTATGATTAAAGAAAAAACATCGGACAGTGTCTACAGTAGGGAATATGAACTATCAAGGTCATGAATTGTGGTTCTCTTTACACATCTATCCTCAAAGCTAATAATATTTTGATTAGAGGTGTCAGCATATGCAGATGCTGAATAAACCTGTTCTTTGAAATGTAAAACCTAAGGTATTTAAAACCTTATCTAAGTGAAAAAGACATTTATTTACTAGCCCTTCTTGCTTAAAAAATTTAAGCCAAGGAGTAGAAGCAGAAGTGGAATTAGTAGATTTTAATGAATTATTGCTTCTGTACAGAACATTAGGTAGAATTATATTAGGGGAAATTTTAACTTTTATTAAGAAATAAATAGGACCACTCATGATGGCATTTAATATCAGTCCAGACATTTAAATTTATCACCGATCTAAACTATTTTAACCTTTTGTATGGTAGTTATGACTTCCTACTTTATCTGTTCTCCTCAAATTTAGTAGTCAAATCAGGGAATCTAAATAGAATAATTTGGCTGGCAAATGAGTGCTAAACTATTTTCTTCCCTTTTCATTTTCTAACTTCCATTCCCTTTGCCAGTTCTCCTTTGTCTTTAATATCCATTTCACATTTCCTATCTTTATTTTTAAGGACCTCCGTCAAGTTTCACATTTTACTTTTTCATCTCTCTGCTTTTATTTTAAATGCCTTTGCTTCACACCTCCTTGCTTTTTGCCCCTAGCTGGGTGATCTAGAGCAAAATAACTAATCTCAGAGTTTCTGTTTACTCAGCTATAAACTGGGAATTATATACCTGCCATATCACACTCAGCAGGCTGTTATGACAGCCATATAATTCATAGCTGTAAGTGTTTAAAACTGTAAAAACACTATACAAATGTGTAATATGAGTATTACAGCAGAGTTTAGTATTAGATATAAGTATCACTTCCTATTTTTCCCAATTATCATTTCATCACCATAATCAACACAAAATATTATACAGACACACAAACATTATATTGTTAAGAATGCCATATTTAACAAAGTAGACAAAGCAGAATCTTCCTTTTAAAAAGACTACACTCTTAAATTTCTTTAACAAGTTGAATTTTTAGGAAGTCTTTTCCTGACTGCGGGGCACTAATTCATTCTAGTCTCTGGAATCAAGGGACTAGAGGTAATATTTGAAAAAGAAAAAAAAAAGCAATAAGATTATGTTATATTTTAAAACACATATATCAAATACTTGATGCAAGTCATGAACTTTCTTATTTGTTTCTTCTTTTCATGTTGACTCACTATGAATAATGCATTACAATTTTAAAAGACCATACTGACCCTGTGACCTGGGTGTATTACAGTTGCATGCAATGAAATAGCTCTCCTCAAACTGGTCACCAACTTTCAGTTCGGTAGTGACTGCTGTGGTGATTAGTATTACAAGGACAGATTTAGGAGGGTCGTGACAGAGATGCTGAGAGAAGGAAGGAAAGAAGGAGGTGGCACGTAGCAGAATGAGGGACATTTGACAGTAAGCAGTGGGCATATCAATGAGATTTTAATATTTCCATCTATTTTTCTTTTTCCTTTGTGCATTCTTTTTTAAAAAAAAGTTTTCAACCCAACACTCACAGCGCATCCCATTTTATGATTTACTTATGGACTATGTAGGGAACCTGCAGCTTTGTCTTTCAAATTGTCTGCCCTTTTTGCCCTGTGGTTTATTGCATTACTGCCATCATTCTGGAGCACCAACAAGAGATCGGCATCTGTCCTCTCAATCTTGAAAAGGGAACTTAACAAGTGCGTTCAGCTAAGCTGTGTCTTTCTGTTTCATAGGAATCACCACAGTGCTGACAATGACAACCATCAGCACTCACCTCAGGGAGACCCTGCCAAAGATCCCTTATGTCAAAGCAATTGATATTTACCTGATGGGTTGCTTTGTGTTCGTGTTCCTGGCTTTGCTGGAATATGCCTTTGTAAATTACATCTTCTTTGGAAAAGGCCCTCAGAAAAAAGGAGCTGGCAAACAAGACCAGAGCGCTAATGAGAAGAACAAACTGGAGATGAATAAAGTCCAGGTAATATATTAAATATTCTTAACAATCTTCTTCTGAAATTCAGCAGCAGCATGGTGCCCAGAGCTCTCATAACAGAAAAAAATTATGAAATATTAGTTTATCTTTAATAAGGCTCCAACCACCCTTCATTTCACATATTTGAAAATTGACAATTGAAGATGTTAGGTTGAAGTTTACATAGCTTAATAACATACCTGGGCCTGCAACTCTACCCTAAGTCCATTATTCTTTATTTTAAATTATAGAGTTGTGAAACTATACACAAAAGAATAATTCCAGACCTACTTAATAAATAAATGAGAGAACTAAAGTGAACAAACTCTTACTCCTAAGTGGCAATGAGGCACTATAGCATGGTGGTTACAACCAGAGAATGCAATCAAACTGATTGGATTTAATTCCCAGGTCTGCCACTTACTGGCTTTAGAACTTCAGGCAAATCAACCTCTGCAACTCCTTATCTAACCTCTGCTCTCAGTGTCATCAACCATAAAATGGAGATTACTATAGTATACCTATCTCTCAGTTATCATAAGGACTAAATGAGTTTTGTTACTTCTTTTAAAGTCTATTATTTGGAACAATACCTAGTACATAGTAAGAACTCAATAAGTATTAGCTGTTATCATATACAAGACATTGTCAGTATTTTTCCTTTGCTTTTCACTGGTAGATCTTATGACCTATGTTCTCAGTGTGCATTAAAATAATGCTTTGTTTATTCTTTTTAAAAATCCCTATAATCTCAACTTCTGTGGCATTTTTCACTGAAATCATTTGACAATTATGTGCATTGAAATACTGGATCCACGACAAATTGTTTTCAAGATGGCACACAGGGTGACGACTCAAATATTCATTCACGATTCTGAGCATTGGGGGTACTGCTCTCAACGAGACGAAGTTCCTTGCTCTCATGGAGTTTAGATGCTAACGTGGGAAGACAGGCAGTAAACAAACAAGCAAGTATCAAGAGCATAATTTCAGGTAATAGGAAGTGCTACAAAGAAAGTAAAACAGAGTGACAGGCAAGAGAATGTTTGGGGTCAGATTCAAGGCAACAGGGAACTTTGATCAGGTGATCAGGAAGACCTCTTTGAGGAATTACCATTTGATCTGACACCTAAGTGATGGAAACAACCATGCCATGTCCATTCTAGGCAAAGAATTGTGTGACGTGTTAAAGTACTGAGAGAAGACCAATGCAGCAAGAACATAGGAAGTGAGGGAGAAAGAGAATAATTTGAGTTGTGGCTGGAGAGTCAGGCAGAAGTCAAATAACGAATCTTCAAGGTGTTTCTTCATGCTCTTTAGTAGGATATCAAAATGTGACAAACACTGTCAGGTAATTAGAAAATTACAAATGAGGAAAACATACAGATTCAGCCAAATGGGCAGAATTCAAAGCAACACACTCAAATAAATTTACACTCTTGTATAAAACACTATGCTCAATGCCATGGGAAAAGGAGTAGGCATGATACTTGCCCTTGAGAATCTTCTGATCTGGCTGGAAAGAAAATTATGAATGGATTATAAAATAAGACAGGACAGCATTTACTTTGAAGAAAGGTTGAAGCTTCCTATTATCTGATTGTAGCCATACCAGCTTTAAAAGTACTTTAAGGGGGCTTCCCTGGTGGCGCAGTGGTTGAGAGTCTACCTGCCGATTCAGGGGACATGGGTTCGTGCCCCGGTCCGGGAAGATCCCACGTGCCGCAGAGCGGCTGGGCCTGTGAGCCATGGCCGCTGAGCCTGCGCGTCCGGAGCCTGTGCTCCACAACGGGAGAGGCCACATCAGTGAGAGGGCCGCATACCACACACACACACACAAAAGCTTAAAATAAAGTCCACAGGAAAAGCATCAGACTAGGATTTGAGACTATAAACAAGAGCCAGTGGAAATCATAGAATTGAAAATTTTATTAGATGGATTAGAATCAGATTTCATACCACAGAAGAAAAAATTAGTATGATTGAAGGTAATATTGGCCTTCTCTCAATCTTTCCACTGCTCCAGTTCTTACCGTAATTGCTACTACCTCAGGAATG